TACCAATCAGAACTTTTAATTTCTCTCTCTCTCTCTCTTTCCTTTCCTTTCTCTTTCTTTTTTCTTTTGAGCTCTGATTTCCCCCTCCCCCCTTGCTAGTGGTGTTTGTTTCTTGTCCCTGGGAAGAGGACTGTGTGGCTCTTTCTTCTCCCTCTCTTCCTTCCCTCTTCTGTGCGTCTTGGGCTTTCCCCAGGTTAACCCCTTGGCTGCTGGCTGGGAGGCCGGGCCAGGCCGGGCCCGTGCCTCGCGGGTTCCCGGTGCCTTTGGCTCCGGGCGCTGCGGTGTTGAGCGCGCAGCCTCGGCCCCGCAGAAGCGGCCGGAGCTGTCCCCAGCCGGTCGTTTCTGTAGCTTTCTAGTGGCGATCGCAGGCTCGCGGGCCTGCTGGCCCCTTCTTCCATGGGAAGGTCACACTTGCCAGGCGTGGTCCCCTCGTAGGCCTGGGGGCCCTGGGCGTGCTTTTCTCTGCAGACCCGGCAGGGCTTGGCTGCCCCACGCTACTAGCTGCGAGCTGTGCGTGTTGGGAAGGCCGGTTTGGAGGGCTTCTGGGTTTGTGTGTAGTCAGGATGGCCTGTTTTGAGTGGACTTCTGTGGGAAGGGAAATTCGGTGCTTTCGGATGAGATGGGAAGGCCTTCCTTTCCCTGACCACCTCACTGTGGGCCCCGGGGGAGGTGGCAAAGGCCAGGGCGAGCGCTTTCAAGGAGGTGCAGGAGGCTAGGGGATGCCTCCCTTTCTGGGGATCGGCCACCCAACTTTGAGAGGCCCAGGGCAGCGCGGGGTGCCACGCTCCCCGGGAGCTCCCTGCGGCGTACCTCCGGCACCCACCGCAGACATTTGTTCCCGCTCATCCTCCACAGCCGGGGCCTCTGCCCCCTGCCCTCACACTGTCCCCAGCCTCCTCCCCCTCCCTTTAAAATGCCTGGTTTGCAGAGCTGTAGACACTTCAGCCGCGTTTATGCCTGGATTCTCGGGGTTGTCACTTTGCACCTCTGGCCGTGGTCGCTACCTCGTGTTTACACACATTAGTTTTGTTTTTCCTTCTTCGCTCATTTAAGGTGGCAGTCTGAAATAATGTGCCCATTATTGAGCAGTGCTGGGATTGGAGTCAGCCAAATCTACAAGTGTTTTTAAGCATTAAAATATTAACTATCAGGTTTGACTTGTTTTTTTTTTTTTTTTTTTTTTTTTTTTTTTTTTTTTCTTTCCTCCTGGGCTCTGGCAGAATGGCAAGAGCACGCTAGACCGGTAATTTTTTTTTTTTCTTTTTAAATACCTAGGAAAGAGAAACAATCACCACCACCCCCAACTCCCCCACCCCCAGGGCCTGTGCTTCCTTGGAAGCCGGGACAGAGGTACAGCCTGACCTCGTCCAGCAGTGCCCGCGCTTTCCGGAGGCTGCTCCTGCGGCCTCGGAAGCGGCGCCTGGTATTTTTCTTGGTAGCTGACGGGATCTTAAAGAATCGGTGTGTTAGCAAACTAGACCCAGCAACATTCCAAAGTTATCCTGGGAATTTCCTCCTCCCCTCCTCCCCTTCCCCTTAGGACGCAGACCTCTTTCCTTTTACTTTAAAATCCACTTAGCCACCCGAAAGGCCATTTGAATATCGGGCTTGTTGGCTTTCTTGACCCTTTTCAAACTGCACGTCCGTGACCGCTGGCGATCTTGCCACGGCGTCGCTTCAAACCCACACAGTTGTGTTGTGCTGTAATTAGGAAACAGGGAAATTGTTAAAGGCAAATAAATGATTTCCCGGTGAGACAAGGAAGGCTCCCAACCCACGGCCCCCTTTGTGGGCTTTGTAGGAATAGACAGCGTCTAGTTATTTTAATTGTGGACATAGCGGGTGGCCCTGTGCTGTGACATCAGGTTGACTCTGAGAAGGCATTTCCGAACCCAGTAGGCTGTTAGTATTTGCGTGTCAGAAATCAGACATCTTTGAGCACACCGCCTCTGCCTCTTTCCTTTCCCTTACCTGGGTTAGCTTGAGTGCTCCAAAATTGAAGTTATTTATTTAGGCTGCTGAGCAGAGCGTTGTTGTCAAGGAGCTGAGAGGCGGTTGTATGTTCCTCTTAGATGCCTTTGGACGCTGGGGCCAGCTTGGCAATTCCAGATTCGATACAGCCCCGGGGTGGAACCCACAGGCAAGCCAGCGGTCCCGGGTCTGAAATTCTCAGGATTTCATAGGGTCTGCCTTTGAGTGTGAGTTGTAAACACAAATTAGGGGTAAGCTTATTCATTCTCTTCCTTCCTCTTGACTGGGGAGCTTTTTGGTACATTTTCTGTTACTTGTGAACAGTACCGGCCAAAGGCCGAATCCTTTGAAAAACAGACTCCCTGGAACCTTGATTTCTGCTTAAGAATGTAAAGAATTAAGGAGTATCATTAAATCGGCTTTTGATGAATAATAAATCATCTCTAGGACAATCTTTTAATTGCCAAAGAAGCTGCAAAACCTGATAGTAACGATTTTGCTTTAAAACGACAAAGATTTCCTCAGAACATTAATTTAATCTTTGATACAGCAATAGAAATGGCTTATGAAGAGGGTACATTCAGACAGAAAAATACATTAGGGAGAAGTCTAGTTAAGTAGATGGGAAGGGTTGGAAGTGCCAATATTGTGGTTCAGTTAACATTGTGTTCAGAGAATACAGTTGCAGGGTGAGACTCCATCAGAAGGGGAAGTTTTACTTTTCTGTTTTTCCTTTTTGGGTTGCAAGAAATAGGTCTGCAGTGGTAGGACCTTCGAGAGGTGTGGGATTTTATTTGAAGGGTACACAGCCTCATCCACCCCAAAGCATTTGCCTTTCAGTGGAGCTGTTTGCTACTAGTTGAGCAAATAAGTAACAGCATCTTGAATTCATTTTTGAACTTGGAATGGAGCATTTCAAGGAAATCGAGAGGCCGCCTATTCATTGAGGAGGGTTTATTTAGCCCGGCAACTTTTTCGATTTTTTTTAACTGGCTTGCCGAAAAATGGACTTTCTCAAACAACATAATCCTTCCTGACAGAAAAGATTAAGATCCTGGAGTGTGAAGGGTTAATGTAGGACCTTCCCTGTTGTCTTCCCACCCCCCACCTTCACCCCTGATTGTTTTGACAACACTTTTCAAAGTGTGACATTCCAAGCCCCTCCATAACAATGTAATATTACTGTAATTACACAGGTCATTACATTTTAAATAGAGAACAATAAAATGCTTATCGCCTTGAAAAAGAACAGGTGCTCTCAGCCTCCTTTCGTATTTATGCTAATTGTTTTCATCTCCTTCAGAAATATTTATGGCAGACATGTTTAGATTTTAATCTCAGTGCAGCAAGTCTTCTATGCTAATCTTGTAAGTTAGGGTTTAATGTCTGGGCTCAGTATTTACCCAGTAAGTCATATTTACATGATTATAAATCTAATATGCCAGTGCTTTGCAGTTTGGCTTCCTGAAGCCCCAGAAACAAATGTGGGGCTTGGGAGTCTAAAAGGCTCCTCTAGGAGAGACATTCTGGGGAACTTGGCTAACGTTTAGGGGATGCCAGCTTTGACTGCAGTCCTCATCTGAGATGTCGAAAGGGTTTTCAGAACAACCAGGCTGGTTCTTCCTTGGAGTTCTCCACTCCGATCTTCTTTTTCCTAAGAGGATTGCCTTTGGAGCTGCTGCTGGCCGTTGGCTAGCTCTCTGTTTCTTAGCAGGCTGTGAAAAAGTTACAGGAAGGTTTCCAGGAGTGACATCTAGAAAGCTGCTTTCTCTGTTAGTGGCACAGGATGGATGCAATTCTGCATGCCATTTAAGAAAGGGGGAGGGCATTTAATGGTTATACCAGAGGCTATGCGTTTCCAGATTAGGGTAGAAGTCTTTCCAAGATCTGAGCACCTTCTCACGCCCCACAAGGTGCCCAGGTGCATCCAAAAAGCATCTGCAGAGCCCCTCTGAGAAGTGCTGGCCCGGCCTCCCTCCCATGCACAGAGGGTGGAGGAGAAAGGGAGGGTTTTGTCAGATGTCACAACAGGGGCTCCGGACCACATTAAAAATGCACTGCAGAGAAAGGACAGCTGCAAATTTTTGTGTGGACGCGTGTTTAGGACCGTGACTAAAAACTCCCGAGGACCTTTCCCCCAGCTGTCTGGAAGTTATGTGGAAGTTGGTTTATTGGCAGTTAAGTATGGGACAACCTGGATTTAGCAGACGCTTTCCCCCGGCACAGGAAGTAGATGACATTGTATTGG